TTCTTCGCGGTGGTGAACGTCTCGGTGGGGCTCTTGGGGGCCCTCGCCTACTTCCTCACCTACGTGGCCTCCTTCCACCTCGCCTACCTGTTCACCGTCCGCATCCACGGCGGGCTGGGCTTCCTTGGGGGAGTCTTGGTGGCCCTCAAGCAGACGATGGGGGACAGCACCGTCCTGAAGGTGCCCCAGGTCAGAATGAAGGCTGTCCCCGTGCTCGTGCTCCTTCTCCTGGCTCTGCTGCGGCTCACCACCCTCGTCGAGAGCAATGTACTGGCCTCGTACGGCTTCGGGCTCCTCTCCAGCTGGGTCTATCTCCGTTTCTACCAGCGGCACAGTAGAGGCCGTGGAGACATGTCCGACCACTTCGCCTTTGCCACTTTCTTCCCCGAGATCCTGCAGCCCGTGGTGGGTCTGGTGGCCAACCTGGTGCACGGCATCCTGGTGAAGGTGAAGGTCTGCCGCAAGACGGTCAAACGCTACGACGTGGGCGCCCCGTCGTCCATCACCATCAGCCTGCCAGGGACGGACCCTCAGGATGCTGAGAGGAGAAGGTACCGCTCGCCCTGCTTCCATAGGGGGTCATGTTTATGGGCAGTGAGGTTCAGGTTTAAAATCCGAACAAGGAGGAGTGGGGAGATTTGGGTGCGGGGCGCTAAGCAGGGACCTTCTCTAGGGGGTCTGCTGGGGGCGCAGAGCTGGTGGGGAGCACTCTGGCAGGCTGGTGGGACGTTGTCCTGCTCTTCTGAACGCGGAGCAGCAGTGGAAGTGCCGGGGAGGAGCGGGGAGATCCTCGGGAAGGGGCAGGTGGGGTTTGGTGTCGGGGTCCCTTATAGAAGGGGGAGAACGGCTGCCTGGGGAGGTGCCAGCTCCCTGCTCACGGCAGCCCCGCACCCGTCATCGTGGCACAGGGGGAGGTGCTGAGTCAGCCCCGCACACCGGCCCTCCCACACGCCTGGCGTTGGCTTTCCCGAGCCCCAGAAGGAAGGTTTGGACAAGGCGTTGGCGCTCTGCTTTCCTCTGCCCTGTTTTACGCCTTTCTCCTGTTCCCGGAGCGGCCCGTGTGCCATCTGACAGTTTCCAAGTGTACCACGTGGCATGAAAACTCTGCGTATGTAGTCTGGGAGCGTGAGTGGGTTTCTGTGGGGCAGTCCCAGGCGCTCGGGGTCATCTTCAGCGCTGCTGAATCCACTCTCTCATGCCCTGCCCAGTGCCCCGTGGGGCAGAGCCATTAACCCCTGCCCTGCCCGTCAGCCCTGG